ATAGTTGAAACTGTAAATAATCCACAAACTATAATCCCAAAACACTTTCATATCATATCGAACCCATCTTATAACATAAGCCTTAAAAAAAAAAAAAAAAAAAAAAGGATTTACTTTATTTTTTAAAATACACTGGAAGTGAGCTTACATCTAGCTCCTGTGCGTCCCAATTTCTTTTGAATTGGGTTTTGACATCTTCCCATGGAATCAAGTATCTAATAAAGATTGCCAAGCAATTCTTCAGTCATTTGATTGATTACATTTACTGTAGTTCACTTGTTGGGCCTGTGTGAATGTTCCAAGAAGCTGCATCTGCAAGAAATACTTGTTTGCAGTATTAATCCTGAATGAGTAATGAGAGCCTAATGTTCAACGAGGTGAATGATAACGACGCCTGGGGGGGTTGTGTGTCCCTCCCCAGACTTCCAAATCGGATAAGCATGGCAGTGGTACTGACAGCGACTACGACAACACGCAAACGTACGACCCCTCGATAAGGTCAGACTCACTTCATGTCACTGTGTACAGAAAATGAGACGCGCGTACTCCAAAAAATGTGCATGTCTGGTTTATTGCAGACTCTGAATTTTACACAGGTGTGATTGGGTACTTACATGTGCCCTGTGAGTGACTTGTCCGCCTCTCACCCAAAGTCAGCTGGGATAGGTTCTAACTCCGCCTTAAGAGGACAAGCGGCATAGAAAATCCATGGATACATGTCCCAAGATGTTGACGATCGTGTACTTTGCTCTTTTTAGCATGGGTCGCAGCAGCGAGGAGGACGGGCGTGGGGAGGCTGAGGAGGGAGGCGGTGGTGAGATGGGCGATCCAGACCCCACCTTGCCATGCACGGAGGACGTCATACTTAAGACTGAGCAGGTGACCAAGAACATCCAGGAGCTTCTCAGGGCAGCTCAGGAGTTCAAACATGACAGGTGAGATGCCAACACCCCACTAATACTGCAGTATTAGGTATTGCTTGCTTTGTGTACCAAATAAAAGTGTGCTACTTTCAGTAGATGTATAGCTAACTAAAATAATACAAGATTCAAGTGTTAAGTCATATAAAAAATTACTGTACTCAATTACTGTAATAAAAATGTCACTGTGTAATTTATCTACATTTTTTCAGTTTAATTTTTAAATGGAACAAAATTCAATTCACGCAAAAAAAAAATATTGACATGGCTGATCACATAAAAATCAACAACTCTAACATTTTAGTTATTTGCTTAATAATTTGTTGCCAGGCGCATTTCATAACTAAAAAAGAAAACAAAAACGGCGGCATCTGGTGAGTGCCTCTGACTCACAGTCGAAAGGATTGGGTTCGAATCTCTGCTTGAACATGAATGCGTAGTTTTGCAGGGATAAGCACACCTAAACAAATTAACTAATTTACACTGTTTCATAATTAAATTAGTGCACTGTTTGAAATGCAAAATGAAACAAAACAAAAAATGCCCCATTTGCTGGCTCTTGTAATCTGTCACCAATCTCCCATTTCCTTTTAAAACTTTAATATATATTTAATATTCTGCTGTGGTTAGATGCATTTTTAAAGCTTTCAACATTCAGTACAAGCTCTCATGAGTCCAAATAAATCTGTGGTGTAAGTGGAAGAACCATGTTGCTTTAATTGTGTTTCGACATTTAAATCTAATCATTCTCCTCAGCTTTGTACCGTGTTCTGAGAAGATCCACTCTGCTGTCACTGAGATGGCCTCACTCTTTCCTAAAGTAAGTTTCCCCACATTTTGTGTTTCTTCTTTCCCTCTTTTCTTTAGAATGGCAATTGCAGCGTAACCCACTCTATACTATAATTACAGTCTTTTACCAATGTGTAAAGCCGTTACAAATATTACTAGATAGTCAATAGACGACCGTAATTTCCGCTCTACAAAACACACCTGATTAAAAGCTGCAACAGCTACATTTAGCTACAAAAACAAATTTACACCTAAAAGCCTTCCATTTTCTTAAAAGCTCACAGTGCGCCTTAAAATGATGTTGAAAATCCGATGCGCCTTGTGTATGGTCATTACGGTAATATTTCGACCCCAAAATGGCTCCCTGCTCGAGACATGCTGACAACGCAGAGTTCAAACTTAAGGCAATTGGGTTACGTAGTTGAATACGGAAATAGAGCAGCGGCAAGAGAGTTCAAACGTTAACGAGTCAAGGTTATAACTTGCTGTTGGTTAAGTGAACTGTGTTGCTGCTTTATTAAATAAGTTTGACTGACATCTGATCGTTCTGTTGGTGGTTCCTTGAGTGTAGCTCCATCTAGTGGACGCATTGGAGATTGCGTCTTATAAAGCGGTGCGCCAAATGTCTGAAAAAAATTACAAAATAGGCCATTCATTGAAGGTGCGCCTCATAATCCGGTGCGCCTTTTAGTGTGGAAAATACGGTATGCGTTTCCTCCACTTATTTTCTGTTGATACTTAGCCATTTGATCGATCCTCTACTCAATTAAAAGCATTTGCCCTCGTGTCTATTTGTATAGCGCCCGGCCCTGGATGCAGTCCACAGTTCACTCCGCCTGTTGGCCTCCAGCGCCTCGCGCTTACAGGTGGAGTGCCGCAAGGCTGCGCCCTCGGAGCCCGGCGCTCCCGCGGTGGACTATCAGCTCCTCACTCAGCAGGTCATCCAGTGCGCTTACGACATAGCCAAGGCCGCCAAGCAACTGGTCACCATCACCACTCGAGAGAAGAAACAGTGACACACTGCAAAATGCTGAGAGAAGGGTGGGTAAAAGAGGAAAGGGGGCAGGTCCAGTGTGGTCACACTATTGGGTGGCGGAGAAGATGGGGGGAGAAAGACAAGTTTGGACTATGCATGGGAAGGAATCGGATGAAAATGTTACGGATTAAATGAGCACAGAGAAGGAACGGGCGGAGGGATCCAAAGTGGAAAATGACAGGTTTCTGAACTCGACGTGTAAGATAAATGGCTTTAAGCGCGATGCCGACAAGAACGCATGATGGTGCTGATGTACAGTTAATCGCATCGTTGACATGTTGCAACTTCCTTTATACCCCTGCCCGTTGTTCCTCATCCCAGCTTCAGCTCAATCACCCGGACCAACATTCAACTGTGACAGCCTGTCTTTTGCGCTCCCTTGCCTTACTAGGCTGGATTAGTGGACCCCCACTCCACAGCTACATGCATCGTCTTCTCCGGTTTGCCTCCTGCAAAGGCGTTCCACCCTGTTGTGGAGGTCCATCACGGCATGTTCTGGCATGTTTCTTTCTCGGTTTCCCTTTGAACAGGCAAATTTGGAATGGATCGACATCTCTAAAAACAATTAACACTGGAATAATTGGGATGTATTTTGTTTTGTTTTTTTATTGATATTTTTACTGATTTGTTTCATGTTTGTCGTCGTCTCACTTATGATTCTCGTTTCGTGGCGCAGGGAGACTCCGTTCACCCTCTTACTGGGATTTAGCTGAAACAACCTGTGAAGAGTCCTGAGGATTTCTCAAGCACTCTTTTGGAGTGACATTTGCTCCTTTAAAGAGACACTCAATGGGTGAGATTGGTATCAGGTGCCAAAGTGTTTGGATTGAATGGTCAGACCAAAAATCCCTTGGTCTTGTTTTATGACAGGACCTGGATCGCAATGTTTTAATCAAACCTCAATTGTCTTTTATTGTCCAATTTTTGTGTGTGTGTGTGTCTGTGTCTCTTATAATTTGCCTCATTTTACCGCTCCAGTGGAATCATCTCATTATTAGTCATTGTCAAATGTTGCAGTTCAGCAGTCTGGAAGCCATTGCAAGATATGTTTTGCTTATGTATGTCATTTGTAATGGATTTAGTGTTCACATTTTTTAGCTGCCTGGTGAGCACAATCAAGCCCTGTGTTCTTTTTCTTAATTCTGCGTCAGTGTGGTCTTCTGATTTTGCCCACGGAATTTAACAATCTCTGAGAGGAAAGAGCACTGTGAACACAGATACCGGTAGTTGGCCTTGTACAGGTGACAGAACAAGCCCGCTGGCTTTCTCACCCTCAAAAACGCAGTTAAGACTAACATTTGACCTTGCCAAGTCCCATCCAGCACTTTGAATTCATGGACCACCTTCAGCACTTCAGCCAACTTTTTCAAATTGGTCATTTGATTTGCTCCTCGCGTCTTATCTGTCGCATGTCTCCGTAGGTGAGGGCTGATTTGTTTGCTATGACCTAAAACGACTCTTGCAATGTATCATTGCTCGATACTGAATGCCTTTGCACATGATCATCTCCTGTTTGACTGGCTGCAATGTTCTGACTGCTGCAACAATAGAACTTCCATCGACAAGGCTCCTCCCTCGCAAACGTTTTAGACCTGATCCGTGTGTGTGTTTATGTCTATTTGTTAGTCCAAGTGGGCTTTAGGGCGTGAGTGCTATTCACCAAGCATCCAGTTAAGTTCTGGCCTTGAGAGTGTACTTGCACAATGGCGGGAACAAGATGGAGCTAGCAGGTGGACTCACATCTACAGCGCTCAATGCACTCTCCTCACGGTCATACTTCATGCATTCGGCGTTTGATGCAAAGGCTGCCTTATGTGCGGCGTGGTGCAATAGGAAAAGGTCTGAAGCATGCTTGGGTTCAGCACTAAAAATCATCTCGGAGTAGTTTGGGGAGGGAGAAAAAAAAATGCACTTGGCACCTCTCAGTACCTTGATAAGTGGACACTAAGTAGAGTGTGAATGTTGACTGGTTTCATCTCATCGTGCCCAGCAAACTTTTATTTCTCCATCTGCGCATACTTTTAGCATTTAAAAAAAAAAAAGGTCATCGGCTGGACCAAGCCTTCCATCAGCCAGTGATTTATTTGAGCCGAGCCCAATCCAGAACCACTGGCCGTGCACTGTGGCCTGTTGGGTTGCTGTCCTTGAGCATCACCCCACGGGCATACATTTTGGGAGATGTGTGACGGGAGCATTGTCTTTTAACAGAAAAACACTAAGAAAAATGTATAAATGTAGAGACACAGAACAATGACTTAAAAAGGTCAGTTGTAATGGAAACTCATAAGCTGTACATTTGTAATAAAATAAAACAAGTTAATTGTCGATGGTTTGGCTGTTAGTTTTTTTTCAGCTATTGTTCAAAAGTCGAATCTGTGAGTCTCGAAATAGAACCTATAATTACTTTTATATCATAACGGTTCTACATTAACTCATTCACTGCCAGCCTAGTGAAAATACATGACATACATTTTTCACTTCTATAGCTGTCAGTGGCGGCGAATGAGTTAATACACTCTACAAATGTTACTTAACTCACGTACTTAAACCTTCATATGTAAGAAATACACATGCAGTATTATACAGCAACAATGCCTGGTTGTAAAAATATAATCAGGCGACTTGATAGTTGTTGCACAAATGTATCAAAACTAATGTACCGGTAATACAAAATATACAACATTGGAATTTTCAGATTGTGGTGGTTGGGTTGTTAAAAAAATGTTTGTTTTTCCTTGCTGTGGCATTCACAAGCAGTCCCTTTTGGTACGTATAGACATCTTCCTGTGGACGCCACAGTTCCAACTAAAAAGTTCCGTCATTTGTCTATATGTACTCATCCGAGCTTGAGGAGCTCAGCAGGAGAGCACACTCTCGTCTTCGGCCTCTCTTGCGTCTCCTCTTTTGAATTTGCATCCTTCTATGGATAACGTCTGGAAGACAAAAATTGCCGTTAAAATGAAATACTGTCCGAAAATGTACAACAGTTTGTTTTTTTGACGTGTGCCAAGTTACCGACCTGCCACGCTTTCGTAGTCTTGCTGTGGATCGTGCCAGTAAAGACTGGGCATGGTCCTCCAGTGGCGGTAGAGGCGCGTGTGCAAAACAGACAGTGTGAGGAGAACCAGCAGGAAGCCCAGCGCCGCCGCGGCCCACACCGCCTCGTTGGACCTGGGGGTCCTCAGAAAGTTGCTGCTCACAAACGTGGCTTGGCCCTCGGAGTCCCTGAAGCAGTCGCACTGTTGCCCTGTGGTGCAGGTGTCACAGTCGTCGGTGGTGGCCGGATCACGCCGCCGTTCTTGTTGGATGTGTTTTGGAGCCACGGACTCGTCCCGCCCCTTTAGTGAGTTCATGTCACCTTTTTGCGCCAACTCTCTCTCTCTCAAATCTACGATTTCATTTTCCTGTGTTTGTCTGTTTGCATTGGCGCTGTGTTTAGCAGAGAACCTCTGTTTCACTGTAGGACTTGTGGCTGCTGCCCAGCGTCCATCAGTCTCTGGAACCTTGATGAGTAAAATCCTCTGCGTAGGCCCCGACACTCGAGACCCAAAAGGGATTGCAGGCCTGGATGACAAATCCTGATTTTGGATCTTCGTCAGAGATGCACCTTTCCGCAGACCAGACTGATTTGTGAGAACCGCAGTCCCTGTCGAGTGTGTCCTCAAAACATCTGACACGTGAGATGTTCCATTTAATTTCACATCATCCTGTTTTGGTGGTATCGCGGCTCTTTCCTGCCTCTGCCTTGATTCCCCTTGAGGTTCTTGCCCATTTCTGTTCTTTGCAGGAGGGACTTTGTCCGCCTTTATCTTTCCTTCTGGCCATGATGAGATTATCTGCTCACAGCACTGCCTCACAGACTCCTGTGGATTTTGGATAAACACATGCTTAGAAATATCTCCTGGAGGTAATCTTTTTTTTTTTTTTTTTTACCCTCTCAGTCAGATTTTATATCAGTGTGAGTGGACGGATAGATGTTTACATATAAAGATGGGGTCAGAATAACAATCAATTGTGACCGATACTTACATTATGTACATATTGTTTCCAATATGGAAACAGATATCAGACCGACACAAAAAACAAATGTGATGTGGTAGCATCACTCCAGACAGAGTTGAACTTGAGGCGAGTTCTTTCAAATAAGATGAGAAATCAGCAAATGTGAAAAAAGTAACAATGTTTAACGTTTACTGCTAGTTTTGCTGGAATTGGATCCACTCCCACCGTGACCCGGGCGTCACAGAATTAGCTGGGATTTTCAGGAAGGAACACTTTTATATCCTAACATCCTCAAAAGAAAATTAAAAGAAACAGTTCGTTCTCCAACCTTGGGTTCTGAGCGGCGTCGCTCTCGACGTGTGCGTCCGTATCCATGTTGGTTTGTTGCGCGTGTCAACAGGAAGTTGTATTTGCCTCTGATCGGACTACCTGAGGTCGTCGTGCTCTGCAGCCAATCACAAACGTCTGAAGAGGCCGCAGTGGAAAGCTCCAATGTTCTCCCCCAAGACACCAAAGCTACAGGCTAAAGACAGACACGAATGCACATTCACTACTTTAATTGTTAGCCCATAAATTGGAAACCCGAGGAACAAATGAAAAGAACAGTGTCATTCCACAACAAATGTGCTCGTTTCTCCCTGTGTTTCAGTCAGTGACTTGTTCCCTAACCATAGATTTGTTGAGCTCTGGGTGAGGGGTGACGATGTAGTCGTGTAGACATGAGCGGGCCAGGATGGACACAAGCGCACGCTCGCTGAAGGCTGCGCAGGGATGGTAGAGCAATACGGCCGCTCCGTGCTGATAAACGCACAACAAAGAAACATTTGAGACCAAATATTAACGCCATAAATTTCTGCTTGAAACACAGCTAATGTGCGACGGGAAGTCTTTATAAAAAAAAAATCCACTTGAGGTTGGAAGTTACTCACATGCAGGTTATTAAGCCACCGTTGAGGAGGACAGTACAAGTACTCTCCACTCTCTGCCCTGACTGGCCTGAAAGCACCGCTGCAATGCACACAGCATATATACGCGGTCAAATAATGTCATAAACTATGTCACTTTGCTCAAAAATTGTGCTTTAAAGAAGAGAAATGCTTTAATACGACTGAAAAACCAAAGACACACGAATAAATATCTGTACCAGTGGATAATACATGACAGCAAGTCATATCAATCCACGGTTCTGAATGTTAAGCACTAGGAGAACGTGCAAACTCCACACAGGAAGGAGATGCTAACCACAAAACTGTGCACCACCTAAAACAAGATTAAGTATCAATGCTTGACTTTCTCGGGCAAACTGCATTGCAATAACAATGTAAAAACACAATGTTACCTGTTGGGGATGCTGTGGCGGTAGGAAATGGGTTCAGTCATGCAGACCTGCCAGGCAAGCTGTTAAAAAATGTGGTCACAAATAACCCTCCTCCTCAGTTTGTTTCTCAAGAAAAGTAACAAGGTTCCTGGGTCAGTTTAACCGGGGGGCATACACACAATTGAATTCCATTCAACAAGTATTATAAGCGATTAAAAAATACATTTACACTCTTTTTAACTGAATTTTAAGGGTGTCCATTTGATCCGCAACATAACATGACTGTTAAGCACATTTAGTATTGAATACAGCCAGTGAGCCATCAACCAAACTATTATCAGGCGGACAGTCTGGGACAATAATTACATAATAGCGACATTATTTTGGAATGATCATAAGAGGCAGAAACTAAAGAGTCAAGGTCTTTTGAGGATCTAAATTGAGGATTTTTATTCACGATGACCTAAAAGGTACTGTTGTTGACTTTTTTCGTGTCACAGTGGAGCACCTAAGGTCAGGGGACATTAAATGTAGCGTGACCTTTTGGCACTTAAATCACTCCATTTAATGAAGGTAGCGTGTTGGGTAAACATAGCGCTTGTTTGAGTGTTTGCTCACCTCGGGATCGTACACTGTGTCGACACTGGGGAGCCTCTGTTAGGAGCAAAGAATGAAAATGGCTCAGGATTTCGAGACAGCATTGTGAAAAAGGGTTTTCCACAAGTGTGACAATCTCGTGCTGTGGCGCGTGCCATCCAAGACATTGAGACGGATACAGCATTTAGACATTTAGACCATTAGGAGCACATGAACATCCATCCATTTTGTACTCGCACGTGACCTTTTTAGGGTGCTGCAGCCTATAAGAGATGGCTTTGTGAGAGGCGGGGCACTCTCTGGACTGAATGCACAATCAAAGGGCTCAAAAAGTGTCTTCAAAGTAATCAGTTATTTATTACCCTGCAGAGATGGTAATATTGTAAGGAAGCTTCTAATCATAATATTACTTTCAAACGCAAGTAACTAGTAGTATGAAATGTATTTCACTTTACAAGTAACTTCACGAACAATTCTTATATATTTGTCAAGTACAGTACTCAAAGACTTGATATCTGCCGTATCCATGGTTACCTGTGTGGAGTCGGACCAAGCAACAGTTGTAGGACAGCCCCAGTAGATGGCATCCGTTGGAAGATCCCTTTCCAAAAGCAGCTACACGAAAGACAATTTTCACGATATGACTTAAGTCACGGGTTATAGCGATCATCAGTAGCAGCATTAAAATAATAATAATAACATATCCCGACCTTTCCATTGTCACAGTCGGAGGTCAGATGCTCAGAGTTGACGTGCCGACCGAAAAAGAACCACAATGCGGCCAGCACGGCCACCGTGTGGTTCGGCATGCTCTTCAGTCATCCAGGTGGGAGATAAAAATGCCATGAAATGTCAGGCTACTGCAGCTACGAAAAGAACGAAAGCAAGTTCTGAAACTTCACAACATGTTCCAAGAACAAAGGCACGGCGCAAAAAAAATAAAAAAAATACCATGCTTATCCTGTCTACTCCGTTTTCTTAGTTTCAGATCATGCCGACTCCGTATTCTTAGTTTCAGACGGTGACCGACGTTTTGCACTTTGTAACCTATGCAACGAGACGTTTTGACTAACATTGAAAGTGAGCATTACAAATGCAATCACCAACGTCAACAGCGGAAGTATTTTTTTTTACTTTCAAAATAAAGTGTTAGTAAATTACTGAATATTTGTCAATCTGATGCATTTTGTCTATTTAAAAAAATAAATGTAGGTATTACATACCCAATTTTACAAGTATATCCTTTTTTAAGATAAACATATTCGCTCTTTAGTCTGAAAATGTCCCGATTGAACTTGACATCCGTTTAGCTCGCTGCTCATGTACGGAAAGTGGAAGGACTCAAAATTACTATTCAACGGGTGTCCAAAAACAGGTTTTCAACTCTAGCTGTACATAACATATAAAAACCCACTAAGTATGATACCTTGGGTTTCAGTGCTGTGGTTTTCCAATTTAATATACTTTTTTACCCCTTTTTTAATATTCTAGTCGAGCATAAATTGACAGCCTTCTTCTCCTATCATAGTGATTTCCATGAATAGATTTAATTCTGGCAACACTCCAACTGAAGAAATGAATAGAGGATGAGGTCTGGTAATAGCGGCGACCTAAATAAATGAAGCATAAACAATCTATCCATCCACTTTCAACAGCGCTTTTCCTGAACTGGGTCGCGGGAGTTGCTGGGGCCCGAATTGGTCGCCAATAAGTCTAATGGCGCATATAGAGACAAACAATCATTTACGCCCACAGCCTCACCGTCATCGAGTGGGAACCGATTCCACGCTGGCCGCACTCAAGGCAGGCGAGTGTACCACGACACCATCAGTGAGTTACATAATAATAATAACAATAATTACAATACTAATAATAATAATATTTTTCAAAGGAGTTGGTAACAAAAAATGCTTAAATCTCTTTGCAGCAAATGGTATTTATTTGGGTGACCAACTGATGAGCACGTCTGCCTCACAGTGCAGTGGTGCAGGGTTCGATTCCGGTTCAGGCCTTCCTGTGTGGATTTTGCACGTGCCTATGTGGGTTTTCTCTGTGTTTTCTCTAATCTTCTTATCCTCACAAGGGCTGCGGGCGTGCTGGAGCCTATTCCAGCTGTCTTCGGGCAGTAGGCGGGTTTCACCCTGAACTGGTTGCCAGCCAATCACAGGTCACACATAGACGAACAACCATTCACGCTCACAATCACACCTAGGGAGAATTTAGAGTGTTCCATTATGCCATGCCTGTGTTTGGAATTTGAGAGGAAACTGGAGCACCCGGAGAAAACCCACAGGGTGAACAGGCAAACTCCACACAAGAAGGCCGCAGCCGGAATTGAACCCTCCACCTCTACACTGTGAGGTGGATATCCAAACAGTTGATCACTGTGCCGCCTAATTATGATAAAATAAACAATAATAATATAATAGTCAAAAACATTTCTGGAAGAGTGTCTTTCGTGAGGATAAGTGATTTGGATAATGGATGCAGTACAGGTACCACACAGCCACCGGTGTTACAGGACTTTAAACATCCACTTCGAGTTTGTGGTTAACAAGCGGGTTGAGATGACCGGATGCGACATATATGCTCCAAATTAATGCACAACCTGCGTGTGTATCATGTCTAATGTGTTATGTTGCTAAGAAACCAAGTCGTACTGTTTTGTCTATTTCATAAGCAACATTTCCTGATTCCGACAGCAACAAACTTGTCACTACGGGTAGCGGAACAAGCATTACCTGTTTGCACAGGTAAATGTTTTTTTTTTTACGGTTTTCAAAATAAAGGCAAGAACTAAGCATTTAGTCCTTAAACTACATATCAGTCATGTTTTAATCCATACAGAAAATATACGCCTTAAAATAAATGTTTTGTTCCGCTGTGTTTTAACTTTCTTAATATTTTTAGAATAATAATTGGTTCAACTTTCATTTATTCTGAAATTTTTCTTGCCAGACCCAACTTAGCACATACTTTACAACCCAGCCCTATCATTCATGTAGTCTTCACTCACCTACATTGTCAAACCTGGACTGAGGGTGTGTTTCGGAGGTTTCCTCGGCAGAGGAGAAGGGTGGACGTCAATGGAGTTCACTCTCACTCCAGGTTAGCTCATTCAATTGACAGTCTTTAAACTGGCAATATTTTTTCCTAGCTCATACTTCGGTTACACTCTTTGGAAACATGTAAAACTCCTCTGTTTTTGAAATATGTCTGTAATTATTTCAGGAGTAATCATGACACTTTATTGCAGAGTTACACAGGACATTGGGCATTTCGTCTGTTGTGAGGGGTGTGGCGCACTACAAGATTATGTTCATACTGTAATAAGGTCATTCTTGAAGTTTATTGCGAATGGCATGCGGAAGCTTTTCACTTTTCAGTGAACAGCGTGTTAATTTTAGCATTAAATAGTGCCGGTTAACACTTTCAGGGACAGAGGTGACTACAGTGGAGAGCTTATCATGTTATCAGGTTACAGGGTGCACGAAAGGGTTAAAAGAACAGCTCTCAATTACGGAAGTATGAGAAATTCCATAAAAGTGGTGCACTTTTAATTGCTTGATGCAAATTCCATATGTGGACAAGTGAAAATGTTGATTCCAGAGCCTGTCTGAATTGGTGCTGATGTGATATGACCTATTGTGTGTACCGTAGCTCCTCGTGGAGTTGCAAGTGTGGAGGAACCAGCGGCCATCCCCACTGGTCGTTTGGGGTCAGTCATTGAGGAAATAGAGCCTGTAGAAATAGAGCAGCATGATGATGACAAAAGTCAACCTGCAGGAACTACTGTTTGCCCGGTAAGTATTCATACAGAATCAGTTGGTTGATTGTAACAAACAGTGACAAGTATGTGATTTTTTTTGTTTGTTGGTTGGTTTTCAGGCCCCATACTCATATGACAGTTCTTCATCATCCTCTGACAGTGAGGATAAATGCAAGATGGAAAAGAAGAAGAAGAAACTGAAGAAGAAGAGGAAAAAGAAAGTATGTGGCTTGAGATCATTCTTATCTCTATCGTGGAGATTAAGTTTCGAAAAGATTACGCCGAAACTACTCAACTGATTTCGAAAAAATCTTGTGGACGAGTGGTACAACGAAGAACACATTCACTTTTCAGTGACCTTTTTTTCTTTTTTGTCAATAAGTAATTAGCTGCATCTCAAAAAAAAAGTGTATTGCAATGGAGGTGAAGTGAATTTGAAATTTTTCCGCAAACAGTTAATGAAGATGTAATTTTTTTTTCTACATCCCACATAAGTAAGCTTTTTAAGAAGAATTATCAAATATAATCATACCATTGCTTTTAAAATGACAGTGTATTTTATGGGGCAGTAACCCAAGCCTTTTATAGCCTCCTCAGGGTGCGCCTTACCTTGGACCAAGTAAATACTGTACGCTCCTGGCTGCACTCGACCAAACTGGTCTGGCTTGTGATTAATGTGTTTGTAAAAAGCAGAGCAATTGCACTTTGTGATGAGTACAATAGGCTGTCTACATAGCTGCAATGGGTGGGCATGTACAGTACCTGTTTGTATGTTTGCCAAGTGCATGAGGAGCCCTTCCCTTTTTACACTACGCAGCAATGTCAAAGATCTCATTGACGTGGATGAATTAAAAAATAAATCTGTTAAAAAAAACATCACTCTCTTTTTACAGGATTCCAGTTCCTCTTCCTCCTCCTCTTCCTCCTCCTCTTCCAGCAGCTCTTCAGACAGCGAGAGTGAGGTAAGTTAGATCATCTGCGAGTTCAAATATTGCTTCGGCATGTCTGTCGCCAGATATTGTCATCACAGGTGGTTCAGAACCAAACAGTTCCCCTCCAGCCAAGTCAGCAAACACAACGTCTTTGCAGAAAGACTACATTTCAAAATCCGCAGCCATGTGCACAGCTCTCATCTTATGCACATGAAATCCAAACGATTGCTTATTTGCGATGAGTGAGCGTGCGTGGTTTGCTGATGTGACAGATTAACTACTCTAAATATGCATTCAGCTCACCATCCACAACTATGCTTCTGGTGAGTGGAAACTTTTCGGACACCTTTATTCAGAACCCCCCCCAAAAAAAAAAAAGATCTCTGAAAGCAGTTTGCTCTTCGAAAAGAAGTGAAGATAGTTTCCCACCAGAGGCATTTGTATGTGTGTGGGAGGGCTGGGGGGCTGCAAAGCAAAATCTTTGCATTCCAGCAAGGTAGTACAACCTCAAGGTTTGGATTGCGTAGACTGTGAAGCATTAAAGTATGAGAAAGTCGGCAGGGGCACTAAGGTCGTGCATCTGTGTGCAGGAGGTATCTGACTGAAGGCAGGGCACACACACCCATTTGGAATGTATAAAACAGACATGTTGTAACAATGAACTGGTTTCCAATACTTTTTTTTTTTTTTTTTGGGAGCAGCCCAGAATGAACAAAACAAGTGCTCATTCACATACTGACATACTTCGGTTGATTGTGTATGCACCTGAATTAAGTACATGCATGATATTTTTGAATACATGCAAAAAAAAAAAAAGTGAGTAATTTAACCTGCATTATCCGGTTGGTCACATCTGACTGTGATGTTATCAGGGCAGGTGGACAATAATGACCTGTTCAACCAGTTGTTAACCCTTTAAAAAGATTTTGAGTTGTGATTTGAAATGTATGAACAAGTCTATGTTTCTGAGTTGAGGTAGTCATGAGTTCCAGACATGGGGTGAGCAGAGCAGCTGAATGCTCTGCTCGCCATAGTGGTGAGATGGACCGAGGGGAAAGAGAAGTGAATGAAAGAAGAGGATCTGGAAGGATGGGGGTAGATGGAGAAGATCAGATTGGTAAGGGGGGCAGGCGTGAGGTTGTGGCCCTTAAACGCAAATAGGGGGATTTTGAAATGGATGCGGAATTGAACCGAGAGCCAGTTGACAAAGGTAATAGGTTATAATGATACACACACACACACACACACGGAGAGAGAGAGAGCTATATCGATATATGGTATATATGTGTTAAACTATATAGATACATGGGTAGATATGTAATTATATTGCATTATCTTGAAGGATGACAAGAAAAAGAAAAAGGAGAAGAAGAAGAAGAAAGTGGTGAATGAGTACATGTGGGACCGGTTGATCGTAGCACCAACTGGTAGGTGGAATATTGTAATATATGTATTTCCCCAGGTTTGTGCTTTGTCTTAGAGTTTGACTTAGTTGCGTTTGGTACTTTGTCGATTTCTCAGACCAGAATTGAATGTCTCAAAACTGCTTGTGCAATTTTCACATCACGGTGTCAATTGCCCCTCATCAAAAATGCAATTTTTCATTTCTTGAATCAAGTTGCAAATGCTTTGCCGCATCTGTGCAAATTCGTACAGTTCTCTGCTGTTTTCAACATTATCAATTGCTAAAGGCACGTTGCTCAAAATTGAGTGTAAATGTTGAATTATCACCCCACCACATTTTGGCATTCATTCTTTACATGCAAAATGGCTGAACAAGTTGTTCTTCTGGGACCAATTTTGGTAGACCGTTTGCCCGCCGTAAAACCTGGCATAACTTCTTTTTCATGCCAGCATAAGTCTAGTGTAGGCTGTATTGTGCCCATTTGGGCGTTTTGGCACAACACGTTGCCTCACCCCTGAGTCACCTGACAATTTGGTAACAAAAAATATTCTGCGCTCAGTGTAAAAAGGGGCGCGTTGCCATTTTTGTGCCAGGGCTATGGACTAATTTAGCGTGTTTGTGAATTTGGTAGACGCCGTACACCCCCCCAGTGCATCTGCAAATTTGGTCACAAAGCAAATTCAATGAACATCAAATGATAATCATCAGCAGTGATGTGTTTTCCACTAAAATTAATTGTCCATGTTCATCTGTGTTTATTTAGACGAACAAATGGGAGTTCCCGGGTACACGGAGTTAAAACAGGTAAGAGAGAGAGGCAAATAAGCTTTTATTTGAAACTTGCCCATTTTGGTATGGAATTGTTACATTTCATAACGAGTCATCTGGATCTACTTTAAAAAGAATCACAAATACTTGGATGCAACATCATATAAGATTGTCCCAATTCTGCTATCTTGTTTCAGGTTTCCAGCTTATCCTATGATGACAATGACAAAAAGGACAAGGAGGATAAGAAGACAAAGAGCAAGGTACATCTTAGCACACTGAATGATTGGAGCAATGCTATTGATAGTAGCGAATGTATGGATGCATTTAGCTTAGTAAAACATTCAATGTTGTGTCTCATGCAAAGCTCTTGCATATACGCTTGCATCGTGTGGCATTCCTCCTAAACACCTTGAATGGCTTCAGGCACACCTCTTTGGGCAGAAACAGTTTTTCACACTTGGAAATACAAATTCTGAATCTGTTCGCCTCGAGTGTGCCTCAAGGATCCCTATTTGGCCCTGTGCTTTTTCTTACTTTTATCATTGATCTCGATCCAATGCTGCAATTTCTTCATGTTAAGATCTTGGCAGACAACGGCAAACCTTCTGACTACTTTTAGTTGTTCTTCAGGGACTTAATCTAGTCTGATTGGGATGCAGTAACAAGAAGTTGGAAATAGCAGCCGAAAAATGTTTGGTTGCGCGTTAAGTGTATGCCAAGCATAAAGGGATTTTCAAGTCGGCGTCACTAGAGTTACTTGTGATAATGTGGAGATCGATTTCTAAAAATGTCAAGTTTTCATCACCTTTTTTTGACAGTAGCAAAGGGAGGCTTTCAAAAAGTTAGTATTATATTAACGTGTCTTTAGTGAAGTTATAAAAAAAATTTTGTCGGACCCGGGTTGGAATAAACAACTGCGGTAAGGGTATATGAGGTATATGTGATTCTTGTTTGATGTTGCAGGTTGTCTGGAATGTTTATAAAATTCATTAATTCAACAACGTGCGCACAACGTAGATCAATGTAAAGATGTTGTATCAACATTTAATACAAAAAATGACCTCGTATGAAGACAAATGTATTTCATTGATACGACGTTCCCACCGTCATTTCCCAGGATTCCACTTCATCTGACAGTGACGAGAAGAAGAAGAAGAAGAAGAAAAAGGACAAAAAGGAGAAGAAGAAGAAAGACAAGAAGAAGAAAAAGAAGAAAGACAAGAAGGTAGAGATATGTCAATTGAAGTATTATTTGGGCTAAAAAAAACCCATTCATAAATGAAGTCAAGAAATAAATAGTGTGTTGACATCAATCAATATTTATTTTCTGCTTTTACTTCACAGCATTCCTCATCCTCTTCATCTGACAGTTCTTCCTCTGATAGTGAGGATGAAAAGAAAAAGAAGAAGAAAAAGAAGAAGAAGAAGAAAAAGAAGAAGGTGGTGTGATTATGATATGCACGATTGATTTCTGTCTATTTTATAAATCATGAAAAAAAAATCCGGGCGAACCGATAATTGTTAAGGTTTGTCTTTTACAGGATTCCAGTTCCTCCTCCTCCTCCTCCTCTTCCTCGTCTTCTTCTTCCTCTTCATCTTCCTCTTCCTCTTCCTCATCCTCTGACAGCGATGATGACAAGAAAAAGAAGAAAAAGGATAAAAAGAAAGACACGAAAAAGGTACCTTACTTTTGGAGTTTTCCTTATGTGTGTAAAAAATGTTTTTTGTTTTTTTTTACGTGCTCTGGCCATGCCTTGGGACACAGCACTAATTAGTATTTAGCTGTGAGAGGGGTGAAATACAATACCACATGTAACAATGATATATTGTAAGCATATACAGTACTGAATGCATATATTTTATACACAAATACATAAAGACTATTGATGTAGATTTTTTTTCTGATTCTGAGAAGTTCTATGCACCTGAAATCATGTTTGCTGCAGGAATGCTGAGTCAGGTACTTTTTTCAGTAATAATATCTTAACTTCAATTTATATAGCGGAAGCTCTTTTGTTTTCCGAGTTATAAAACATTACATTTCCGAAATATTCGAAAAGGGTGTTTTGCACGATTATATTGTAACTTTGGCAGGACTGGCCGAGTCAAGGAACACATTAACTCCGCATATGCACACATTTGTATTCATTTTTAATTACAAACACATTGTAATTAAAATAGCATTTTACACAACAGTGAAGTAGAAATGTCACAATGCAGACAAAGTCCAAGAAAGAATTGCCGAAATATATTGATTGTTATTCACAGAAGGATGCAAAAGAATCACTGTCACCATCAGGTGAGTGTGTCCACTTTTTTTTTTTATACTAACAATCATTGCAACTAAACCTTTTTTTCCTTGATGCTCATATTGTGATTCTCTGCAGGAGTTGATATTACTCAGAAAAATGCTATTGGAAAGAAATATATTGATTGTTATTCACAGAAGGGCGCGAAAGAATCACTTTCACCAGCAGGTCAGTGTGTCCAGTTTTTTTGATACAATCATTGCAACCAAACGTTTTTGTTTCTTGATGCTCATATTGTGATTCTTCGCAGGAGTTGATATTACTCAGAAAAATGCTATTGGAGACGCAGCCAAAGATAATTATGATGACAAGGTGACACATTCACATGAACATTACCTACAATATGCCATTCGCCTAAACATTAGATAAACATGGCTTTTTTTTTTTGGTGCGTGTGTGTTTTATAGCATAAAGCAGCCGAAGATCCATTTGCAACCTACCAGTACATACCAGGTGGTAAGTGTGAATTTCAGCACGTCATGTTGCAGTTCAGGTTTTTGGACCGATAAGCGATATCATGTCAACTCTTGAAAGCAGAGCCATTGCCGGGCTGCACCGAGGAGGGCCACCTGAGTGACGATGAGCGAGAGGGAGGGGACGAGAACCAGATGAAGAAGAAAAAGAAGCTGAAGAAGAAGAAGGAAAAGGTGATCATGGTGTGCGCATGTGAATGAATCAAGCATCAAATGAGCTTCGGACTGATGGCTTTTTTTTCCCTCAATAGGATTCTGGTTCATCTTCGGATAGTGACGATGAAAAAGACAAGAAGAAGAAAAAGAAAAAGAAGAAGAAGAAGAAGAAGAAGGTACATTCTAAAAGCAGTTGGGTTATAAATTACCCAGATTTGTGTTTCGGGCTTATTTATTGAACCCAAAGAGTTGGGTCGATTGAGTTGATTTGTACAACGCAAGTCTTTGGGCCGTTTTGTGGGCTATTCATTTGACCCAACTTTTTGGGTTGAATGAATAATCCACAAATTTACATCGGCCCCTTTTTAACTCCATTTGGGTTATTTTTGAGTGTATAACTACAGAAAGAAAATCCAGTACACTGTATAGATTTTAATCACAACATTTAACAGGACTCAACTGTCACATATCAGGTGCACCTAACAATTATTATTCTTTTTTTTAACGCAGATCTTGTTGATTGAGCTCTTGTTTTAGATCTCATGAGATTATGCAGGCATGCTACATTTAAGTCATGCGTGCTTATGTGAGATGAGTAAAATGATGTCACATAATAGACGCCTATTGTTGCTAATTGCTGTCAATGACTTATTTGTTTGATTTCATGTTTAGGATTCTTCCAGCTCCTCCTCTTCTTCATCTTCTGAGAGCTCTTCCTCAGAGAGTGATGATGAGAAGAAGAAGAAGAAGAAGAAAAAGAAGAAGAAGAAGAAAAAGAAGGCATTTTATCCTTCTAATATCTATTTCATTTTATTCACTGTGGGTTGGTTTATGACACTGATTTATACTTAACTGTATTAACAGGATTCCAGTTCTTCTTCTTCGTCCTCGTCATCCTCCTCCTCTGACAGTGATGATGACAAGAAGAAGAAGAAAAAGAAGAAGAAGAAGAAGAAAAAGAAAAAGAAGGTCTGCTTTTGTCCCTCTTGTATTATCCACGACAGTATTTGTGTGTGTGCTGGGAATTCTGTAATCACTGTTTTCTGACATCCTCTTGATTGCTCCGTGGCTTGCGTTTGATTGTTTTGGTAATGTTGTAGCAATGTCTTTTGGTTTATTATTTTTATTATTATTATTATTATTATTATTTCTTGTTATAAAGTCTGTTTCTAAAAATCATCCTCACAGGACTCCAGTTCTTCTTCTTCCTCTTCCTCATCTGACAGTGAGGATGAAAAGAAAAAGAAGAAGAAGAAGTTGAAGAAGAAAAAGAAGAAAAAGGTTTGCTTTTTTTTTTTTTTTTTACCTGTATGATCTAGTACAGTGTTTTTGTAGTCACATTTTGTAATTCTCCCCATCTCTGAACAGGACTCCAGTTCTTCCTCCTCCTCCTCCTCCTCCTCTTCATCTGACAGTGACGATGGCAAGAAGAAAAAGAAGAAAAAGAAGAAGAAGAAGAAGGTAAATAGAGTAAAACTGGAGTATTCTATTAATGGAGTCCCCTGGGATACATAAACATGTGTTCGTAAAACTGTAACTATTCACAGCAGGTTTTAATCATCCTATGGATGTGTGTTGTATTTATTTTTTCATTAGAAGGCCAGCTCCTCTGATGAGAGCTCTTCTTCTTCCTCCTCCTCCTCCTCTTCCTCCTCTTCCTCCTCCTCGGATAGTGAGAGTGGCAAGGTGAGAAAGTGCGCTATTCACGATCGTATTGACACTTTTTCCAGACCTTCAATCACACTTCATTTCTTTAGAAAAAGAAGAAAAAGGATAAAAAGAAGAAGAAAAAGGGGAAGAAAAAGAAGGTGAGCCAACATGAAAGCGTAACTAAAATAAAGTTGAATTAATGGAGCGATAAATGCGATAAGTCTTCTTCTAAAAGATACATAGCAGTCTACAGTTATTAAATTAAGTACAGCTGTACAGTCAAAGCTGGATCAAAGGGGTTGCAAATTTGCTGTTTCAAATTGAATGAAACTGAATTTAAAAGTCTTCCATTTTTGATGCAGCTCCACTAATCATACGTTGCATGCACCAAATTCTGTGGATGGTAAACAGAAAAGACTTTTTTTTTTTTTTTTAAACTACCTATGTTGCAGCTCCCAAACAAGGAGAGCTGGAGTGTGTTTTTTTTTTTTTTTTTTTTTAAACATACACTTTATTAATGCTTTTAACACTCTGAACAAATACAGACACGTCTGTGTCGAACTATGTGCCTTCTCTTCTGCCGTTCGGCTCGAGAGGCGTTCAAAGACCGCCTCTGAAAAAACGTAAATTAACGATTACATCAATGACACTAAGAACATTGGAAATAATGCACCAGAACAGAAAATCAAGCGAGGACATCACAAAATAAATTCTATGGGGGAGGTTGTGAACACACAATAAAGGAATAAATAACATAAACAATTCTGAGACAGTCCAGTCTCCTACATGTAGATTGAGTTACCTTGTGTATGAAACGTGGAATGTGGCTGCCTGAAAGTAGTCGAAAATATCTCCACTTTCTGTTCATTACTCTCCTCCTTTTAGTCAGTTAAAGTTATTTTTCCTGGTAACGAGTTACTACTCTAAAATAATTCAATTACTAGCAAATAATGAGCAACTATAACTCATTACTTTTATAAAGCATCGCTGCCAACACTGCATCAAACTGATATTTATTCTGTGGAAATTGAAAAACACTGCGGGGTGCTCACCAAATTGTTGCATTTGCATCCAAGCATTCAGATTGTTCTGGTAGTGATAAGAAGAAAAAGAAGAAAGACAAGAAGAAGAAAAAGGTCAGTTCAATGATACGTGCCGTGGCTGACTGTCCGGGATGTCGTCTGCCAAAATGGATGGATGAGTGATTCTGTGGGTGCTTCTGCTTTAATTTACAAACTGTGGCATTCTTCTATATGCTCAGCATTCAAGCTCCAGTTCATCAAGTTCCAGTTCCTCAAGTTCCAGTGACAGTGACAAGGAAAACAAAAAGGTCAAGAAAGAAAAGAAGAAAAAGGAGAATGTAAGTACATATACAAGACTGTAAGCCCCCCATGTTTATAGAAAATATCTTTGATATTTATGGACAGTGCTCCATGAGCTAAAGTCTGGCCATAAAATCTTTTTGGCTCTTCAATGCCACCATAATGATTATGAAATAAATCGTCAGCAGTCGCGTTCTCAACTAATACAAGGGAACCAGTTCCATCAGCAGCCATACATGCCCACATGCCCATGCAATGGCTGAACAGGCAATTGTCCCATTACATTTGGCCACTTGAAAAGTGGAAGTCATGTTGTACAACGTGTTGTTATTCCAACACCGTTCACCTGATTTGGGTGTAAATGGTACCTTGGAAGAAGGACCACATTGGTAGGTGGGACTCATGCATTTCATGAGTTTTCACAGGAAGTCGAAGCGAGTCTGAGCTCTCGTTCCTGTAAGATGTGCATCCACAGGAACTTGGTGCGGCTTACCGTCTCCACATCAACCGCCAATGGCCTCCTAACGTTGGCGCCAATCTGGTTTAGTTTTTAAACCTGCACCAGTTGGCCCAGCTTCTTCCTGTAGTTGGCATCTTCTTGTAGTCTGCAAACTTAATGATGTGGTTGGTGCTGTTGTGATTAGCACTGTAAAGAGCACAAATGATTTAGCGCTACTTTCCTACTCATCATTTCTTCCTCCTTTTCATTACAGAAAATTCCTGGTGTTGAGCAAAGTGGTGATCCACAAATGCAAGTGTCTGACCCGGGTACGAGTGGATACTCGGCCTTTAGCAGAAGCTCCAAGCCCGGTGGTGCTCCCGTTATCACATTTCCATTGCTTCCCTCCAAACCTGTTGTAAACCTGGATCCTCCGAACCTTCCACTCACCTCACTCTCCAATCCAGCAGTGACCCCAACTGCTGGCGGAGATCGGGCACCCGTTCGCAGACCCTTAAGCCCCATGGAGTCATTGATGGGGAGTACCGGTACATTTCGGTACAGGGATGCAGGGGCCCGTTCCACCCCACACCTCAGCTCTACTGGTCTATACAGAAGCACTCGGTCTTACAAGTGATGAGATGTCCAAACTATTCACAGATGACAATATATGAGGGGTAATTGAAAAGTGCTTCAACGATATATCACTCTGTGAGAGTCTGATAAGACGTCTAATACTGAATCAAAGGAAACGTCTGTTTGCTGAGGAATCATTGTGCTGACAAAAAAGATGATTTGATGGGGTGGATATATATATATATATATATATATATATATATATATATATATCAAATCAAATTATTCAATGTTTGCTTCAGGGAATAAAACAAAAAAATTGTTATTTTGTGTACTCTGTCCGTGAGTATCATTCACTCACACACACACACACACACACACACACACACACACACACACACACGCATCTTGATAGAGCTCCCCATTAGCCCTGAAAGAGAAAAATTCCTGGTGCCGTGCCTGGTCTAAAGTAGGGGGACTTGGCAAACGATTCACCATTAATATTTTCCGCATTATCTCTTTGTTGTTAATCTTGGGCAAAGTGTGTATTTGAAACGATGCTGAAGATGTTAACACCTACCTAATGTCCTCAAAGACTTTTTCGATACATAGATAATAATGGTGCGGTGACCTTTGTTTCTACACTTTTTGAAGGGTCGATAAGTAATAAAGAGCTCTATATGCGATCAGGGTGAGCTGACCTCCTGACAGATGACATGGTTGAAAAAGGTTTTTTAACAGATAACTAAGGTTTACTGTTCACATTTTCTTAAAATGAAAAGGCAGACACCAGCATGCAGTGTATGTAGGGCCTTGTTTTCGTGGACTGGTTCCATGTACTCGGTTTAAAAACAAGCACAACTTCATTTTTGTGCACGCGCAAGTCTAGTCTAGCGTCTTTGGGCTGTGTTGCACCCATTTGGGCGTTTCGGTGCACAGAGTTGCTGCAGCCTTGAGTCATCCGACAATGTCATAACAGAAAGTAGTTTCCGCTCGGCACAAATATGCACTTTTCGTCATTTCCGTGCCGGGGCAAGGGACTAATTCAGCGTGTTTGTGAATTTGATAGACGCGCTATGCCTCTCTGGGCTTTTCTGCCTTTTTGTTTCCACAATGTCAAGGATGGCGTACTCGGGTTTGCACTTTGACCGCCCTGATACAAATGCAGCACACCGCGCAGATTGGCTGGCAAAAGTCTACTTCCATCCTACAAAAGCAGATAACACCTGTTCTCCCAGTTCTACCAGCGCAAAGTCTAGCAAAATACCAAAAGAAAGAAAATTAAACATGAAATAAGTCGAACCGGTACCTCAAACATGTACTGGTGACCATGGTAAGTCTCCATGTTTGATTTTAAGTACAGGGCTGTAATTGAATGACCCGAAGACAATCAAACATTTCGTTTTTAAATCAGATTTTTTTCCCCCCCAATTTATGAGGTTAAAGAAAATGCAGTTTAGTTAATTGTAAAAATAGAAATAATAGTGCCGATATGTATTCAATAAACTTAATATTTTTAAATGAATAACATTTTGATTTTAAATACTTTACCAAAACCGTTTTTTTTTCCAAAAGTTATTATCAAACAATTATAAATGACTGAAAAAAAATTATAAAAAAAGAATACATCCATTTGATGAGGCAGTTTCTTTGAAAGAAAAAAAAAACACTTATTTAAAAAATATTTCAGGACCACATGTGACAAAAGTCACAGAGAACAATATGTGTTGACTAAAAATGCTGCTTTAAAGTATGACATTGTTTCCATACCACATAGATTATTAAATGAGGAAAACAATAGGGAACGTAGGAATGAAATTCTATTCAAATGAGGACAGTAGATTGAAACTCCTCCCACATGTTTGCTCTGCTTGAGGGTTTTGGTTCCTGGTTGGGTCACGTGATTTGAAGTGCGGTTGTTTTGACTTTTCTCTCCAGTTCACTGCTCGTTAGCCGTCACCGTTGTCATTGTTTGGACGAGCACGGCGGCACGATGAGTTTCAATCTTAGCGATGGTAAGATTTCAGTTCAATAAGCTCTTACATCTTTCTGTTAGCAAATACAGCATTGCGACTGTCGCTTGCATGCTGAACAGAAACTTTGAGAGAAGTTAATTTTGTGACGCAGGCTTGATCTTTGCTACATTTGTTTGTTTGTTTTTTACAGCAATGGGCGGCGGTGAGGAAAAGATGACAAAGACGGAGGCAAAAACAGACGAGATCAGCTGGCCTTGGAGAAAGAGAGAAAAGGTACTTCATTCAAGTAAAAATAAAACGATATCTATCCATGTAACTATACAGGCGACGGGACGATTAATAGGTCAGTATTTAGATTTATTTCGATTTTAATATGTATTTGTTTTCTTACTGACTTTTACAACGTGGTGTCTCAACAAGTAGATAAAGATTAGTTTGACACTGACTCACCCATGCTGTACTTATACACTCCTGACAACTTAAATTGAAGAATATTAACAGATAATGTAAGCCTTAAAGTGAGGTGAACATTTATTAAATGCTTTCATCGTTTCAGAGTAGCGACAAGGCCAAATCCGGTGGCAAGTCCAACTCATCAGACAAAAAGACGAAAAGCAAGGATGGAAAGAGTAGTGGAGACAAGGATGGAAAGAAAAAGGACCATAAAGCTGGAAAGAAAAAGGATGGGAACAGGTCAAACACTTCCAGCTCATCCTCTTCCTCCAGCAGCAGCAGCAGCAGCAGCAGCAGCGATGAGGTGAGGGTTTTGTTTTGTTTTGTTTTGTTTTTGCAAAAACATGTTCATTTCTTTTTCAAGATAGAACAGAATACTTCTCAACGCTCGTACCACACCTGTCACGCCTTGTTATGTCTTACTGCTATGCAGCCGCAACAAGTCTCACCTGCTGTGCCACTTTGAACCCCGCATACACACCACGCCCTCATCTTGCTATCTATGTTCCGTGACTATTTGCAGTCATATTCTGCAGCCTTTCTCCCAGTCAATCGGTGCAGTTCTCCGTGAGTCACATTTGCGTGGGCATGACACAAATGGGTGTGAGGGAAAACAAACAGGTCAGATAGCCAAGTCACATTGTCTAATGTTGCCTTGCTTCCTCTCCGAGTCTGGCAAAAACACGATCAGACCACACGTCACTGCTCCAAATGGGAGTGTGAGGAGGTTGTCATTTTGGTGCTCGTTAGGGGCCACTGCTGCTGTATTCATTGATAAAATGTATGAGCTGTGGCACTTAGGATGTGCTTGAATGAATCATCTTCTTTTTCTGCAGTAAGCATTGTTCTTTTTGTCATTCCAGGGCTGATGCTTCCCGGTGGGAAAATCTGGTGTGCGAGCAATTTGCGTGCTTTGACCACAAGGTGGCATTGTTTGCATGTTTTTTTTTGGGGCGGGGAATCGGAAGTCTGTCATTCATGGAAATTGTTGCCAATCAGACATTTACATGTATGAAATTAAATCATTATTGAAATTTTTTTTCCAGTTATTTAAAATGCTGCTTTTTGGCCAGAGTGGATGTTTTTTTTTCCTCTTTTAAAAATAAATCCGTAGACCTGAGAAATTATGCAAAAGCTTAAAGTAAATATAATACATGACATAAACAAGTATATTCATTCAGATGACATCATATATAACTGATCAGCCGGTCTTTTGAATCTATCATGTGGAGAATGAAAATGAAACAAATTCTCTTAGCTCCTAATTAATATCAAATACAGTATCTACTATTAAAAAAAAAAAAAAAAGTATTTTCTATGTCTGTTTCTCTACTATGTATCCTCATTAAGTAGAAGCTATCCCAACAGATTGTGGTATAATAGGCATGGTACACTCTTGACTGGTCGCGAGCCAATCGCAGGGCACATGCATGCAAACCGCCATTGATACTCGCATTCCCATCTATGGACAATTTAGAACACCGGGCCCCAACATGGGGCCTGTGGGGCAATTACGAAAAAGAAAGGAAGCATCTGTGTCCTTTCGGCTCAATCTTGCTACCAGACTTCCACGTCGCGCCCCAGTAACCACGATTCAAATTATGGTTTGTTTCACTGCGTTTGTGTCCCACTATTGCCAGAGTATGAAGCTATTGACGCAACCCTCTTGTGCCTAGAGGTATCAAATTATTTTATTTGCCTTGTCTTTTAAAATTGCTTTATTTCCTCATATCACCATCAATGACATAAAAACCTTGTTCAGACTTTTCACTTTTCCGAACCTCAGATCTCTCTCCGTGTTGTGCAGTGTGTTTATCGATTTAAAAAATGCTTGTTGTGGGTTGACCGAGACACATCACACATCCTGTGATGTACAAAACGTCAGAACAATTCTTCTGAGGTGGACATGTTTGATCATCAAACACCATCAAACACAAAAGACAGTCTTTGATTGCACCCTGCTACTTTCCATCAGATGGAATGTCCATACATTATTGAGGCTGGTGAGTAAGAATGAGTGAATATGAACAGTTTTTTCCACACAACAGAAATCCTGAAGGCAACTGTGAGATGGAACAAAATGGTATGAATATTTCATTTAAAATCAAAGGTCAGTGAAAATAAAGTTTTTTTTTTTTTTATGGAGTTGGTAACAGTCTACAGGCATTTGTTTAATGTACCCCCATCCAACTTCGGGAATTGGTCAGTTAGACATGGTAAAAGGTGCTATATTTGAATGCCCTCTCAAGATTTGTGGCTGCCCCGTCATACATGCCTAGACCCGGCCTTGGGTGTACCCCACCTATTGCCCGAAGACAGCTGGAATAGTTTCAAGCACGCCCGCAACCTTTGTGAGGATAAACGAATTAGAAAATGTGGCCTATAGGGGGTGCATTTTCTTTTTGGTTTTCAGTTCTTTTCAAATCCAATTCATAACAAAGTAAATTTTACTCTTGTTTCAGATAATTTCCAGCCTTTCTGGGCTACATTAAAAAATGCAAAGAGACAGATTTGGCCCACAGGCCGTGATATTGACACGGATAAATTATATAGTCACGATTTTTCGTTCCTTTACGGTGCAGTTAATATATTATCCAAAGTATGGGTCGCACTATACGTACGTACCACAAGAGGGCGCAAGAACCGTTTCCTCCGATTGGCGTCGACGGTTTCCCAGCAACAGCCTGATTCAAGCCGCTGCCACAGAGGCTCATCAAGTGCACAGAAGCATTCGAACAGTAACAGGAAGTTAAACATTTTACAAAGTAACGTACAGCAGAAAAAGCAACTTGGTTATTTTGATAGAATGTGAGTACAAGCTGAATAGAGGAAGTATATGAAATCGCAAACCTACTCGTTGAAGGTCACGCTTGTCAAACTAGCAAAGCATCCTCCTGAATATGTCCTATTCCCCAAACAGGTAACGTACTTGATTTTTATTTTGGATTACTCTAACCGGAAGCTGACATCCTTTCATTAATTTTACTACCCGGTGCACTCAGCCGCTGCGGATCAAGCGAGGAAGCATGGAGCGCCTCAGAAGGCGTTGGAGACACTCACTAAGGCGGTGAGGAAACGGTCAGTTGGGGACGTGTTTCTCAATCGCGTTCAGACACTTGTGGAGAGGTTCGACTCAGTGCAATCAGAACTTTCTGCCAACTGTAACTATATTGGCGGGTTGGCGTAACAATTTCACTGAATACTTGGACTGATCCGCTTACCAAACGGACGGGCATCGTGGGGTGAGACGCCAACACGGAGTCAGCGCCCGGTGAACCGGACCGGAAATGAATTGGGATTCCTTTTGGACCAGGCCTGTGAACATTTCACTGTGTTTTGGACGAACAGAGTGGGTGGTGCGCGCTGCGTAAAAACCCAAGTTGTCACATGCCATTACAAAGACGAGTTTTCTTCAAGAAAGCTGAGCGGTGCACAGGACTGAACGGCCCGGAACAATGGTGAAGTTTCATAACTCGGACCTGTGGATAGCCTGGTTTGTCATTTTCTGCATGGAGGGTGAGTCTTAATGCAAAATTCGTTACTTTTTGCTGGCAGAGTGGCACTGTACGCAGCGGTACAAACCTATATTATTGTTGTCATGATTTAGGAATAACTATACACGCAACCTGCCTCGTCTGACAAGTGTGGAAGAAGGAAGAACTTTTATTACAATACAACAAAGAATCCAAGTAACTGTTATGTAAGAAGCATGCATGCATGCATGCATAACAGCAGCAACACTGTTAACAATTTGAGAGCACTTTCTATAATAATAATAATAATAATAATGATTTAAATCACTTGGATCAATTAGGTACATTAATTAAAAAAAAAGAATTGCGTGTGGAATTATGGCATCGGATGCGTGCCACACAGCCATTTGACTCCCTCCACACCTCCCATTCTACTTAATACTTATTTTATCTGGCAGTCAAATCTCCACATTTCAAACTAAAGCTGAAGCATGCAAGTGTCTCTGTCTTTGACACTTTGAACTCCGCACGTTTGATCCCATGCGTGCGCTTTATGTGCCTGGAACTTTTTACTGTTGTGACTGGATGTTCCTTGATGCATCATTTGCTATGCAGTTGCTGTGGGGCCTTTATTATACAGTATTGCTTTGATCATGTCCTACAGGCCTGCTGTCTTCCAGTATATAAAGTCAGTTACTCAATGACATGTTTTCAGTACATCGAGCTTTCTTCCAATCAGAGTGTCAGATCTCTTCCGTGTCTTGTGCATCCAGCCCCGCTCTCTGTAGTTACTTTGTATTTTCCTACATACAGACTTACTTTTCACCTTCAGTGTCATGTCTGCTAGTGGGTTCAAAGTGACAATGGAAATACTGTAGTCTCTCTCTCTCTCTCTCTCTCTCTCTCTCTCTCTCTCTCGCTCTCTCTCTCTCTCTCTCTCTCTCTCTCTCTCTTCCCACGCATTGCAACAGATACCCAAAAGTTGGCGAAAATCTAACTAATGTATTTAAACGGAAATAGTTCTGCAGTATCAAACAACACATCTTTAAAAAGTACATTCCGCTCCTTCAAGTGCATCATGGTACCCACTTGATTTTTTTTCTACTTTAACTTGAACTTATAATCATATCTATAGATATACATAAATATATAAATAATCAATCTTAAAATCATAACATGAGAAATGATTGTGATTGGCACAAGAGTCAGACTGTGCAGGAAATTTTCAAGTAACATTTTAACATTCATAACTGTTGTACAAGTGTAAAAAGAAGTAAACCACTGCTATCAGAAGGGAGACAATAAAAACACTCAAAAGTCTGATGCAAATTGCTCAGTTTTTTTTTTTTGGTGCAACTTTAGAAGTGTGTTTTTTTTCCAATTTCAAATCACACAACTTCAGATTCATGTTTATTCATCGATACACGGAGGGCTTTCATTTAACCCGTTTCTATGAAACTAGAGACTATAGTGGTATTAAAAAGACGTAATTTGGAAAATCAGCTTTAACATTTCTTAAAGCACACGCAAACTGATGAAAACTTGCTGCTTATCTGACTATCTGATAACTCCTGCTGAGGCCTTCCTGGAAGGATAGCGGTCAATTAAGCTCCCAAATATAATACTTGCTCATGAAAAAAGGTCAGGTCATCTATTTCTGAGAAAAAAAGCAATTCAAAATGGTGCTTTGAGTACGGACCTGGTTCCAACTCCTTGCCAGCTTTTCCACTAGGCCACATGTACTATATATATATATAATATATATATGCACACACACACACACACACACACACACACACACACACACACACACACACGTCATTTTTTTACTTGGGTTCTTCCACTCTCTTTCTGTCTCTCTCTCGCGCTCTCTCACACAGACGCACACACATAGCAAGCTTGTTAGATTGGTTGGTAGTTTGAGCTATTGTGTAACAAAACGGTTGAGATAAAAAAAATAATAATAATAAAAAAAAAATAAAAAACACTACACTATAGCCGTTTTTCATCCTTGAAGTCCATCCGTGACAGAATGCAAGTAAGTTTCCAAGGCCACTGAGTGAAAATCAGCAGCAACCGATTTGAGGGACACTTCCTCCTCTTCACTCTTGTGTCTCAGCAGGGAGTCACAAGTGTCTCTATAAATAAATTCCAGTGTATCGATTGTCGTTGCTTGTATTGGCTTTGTGTACTGACCTCAACGCTTTGCATGCCACAATTTGCAGATTGATCGCCTGATTATGTCAGCAGTCAAGGGATAGTTTGTTGCGGTATTTTGTGACCTTCGCTTCAAAATCAGTGGGAATGCTGCATCATGTGCGGGGCGTTGGCACTGTCCCACCCCAAAAAAAGAGCTAAATGTGTTGTTTTTCTTTCTTTCCAATCCATGCTGAATCAACTAATTTGTTCATACGCAAGTATCCATTTCATCTAAACAGCTAAATTAGAACGCCCTTGGGTTACTTCATTTGAAATTTGATCGATTTTCTGGAAAAATCCATGTCTAAAGTTAGATAGCGATATAATTGACAAGTGTAATTTGGCATTTTGTTGATGTGCATTTCTTAATGCTGAGGTGTACTGCTTCCTTCTATTTTTTTGGTTGAAAACTAAAAATTCACATACAGGCCTCACAACTCTGCTCCTGGTCGCCAGGGTAACCTCTTTTTACAGCGATACTGAAATGACCTCGCCGAAACAGGTTAATTTCAAACACAGGGGGATAAATCCACTGTCATTTCTGATTCATGTTTTTTTGTAATCAAAACATCTCAGAGATATTTCATTTATTCACCTGGGGAACGGTTTTAAAATGTAAAAACATTTGTAGTTCTTCCTTGAGTCCAGTGTTGCCATGGTTACCTTGAAAAAGTCACTTAATTTCCTTATTACTTGCATTACAAAAATAATTGAGTTACTTTATTGATTCCCTTAATTTGACAAGTAACTAAGTTGAATTACAAGTAACTTTAATAGTTACATTAAGCAGATGCTGACAACCTTGCTTTAGCATAAAAATGGCATCAAATGGCACAAAAATGACATTTAAGGATTAAAATGTAAAAACGTTTTGTTTTAAGGAAATTTTCATTCAATTATTTTTTTTCAGGATTTCACTTAACATAAACAGGCTGATTGTTTTTAATAAAAAAAAAAAAGGGGTAAAAAAAGGAAAAAAAACACCTATCTTCTGAGTTTGGTTATGTGAAGTTTGCAAGCTAAGCTGTGATTGGTCGTTACTGAGCAGCTGTGATGTCATTTTCGGTCGACAGCAAGTGGCAAAATGGCCGCCCACTGAGATAGATTAAAAACTGATGGATTTTGCTGCTTCATTCATATTCCACAGACGCAATATTCATCAGAATGCCGTGTTGACATAGGTGGGGGCGCATACAACTTATTATTGTAAAGAACATCCCGGGTTGACTTTCGTTTTGATTATTGGTTTGAAAAAGTATGATAAATGCTTGCGAGAGGGAGGCACTGTGGCTGCATGAACAAGTAACTGCAGTCGACAAAATAATGATTTGTGATATGAAACGAGTAACTACAGCTTGATGAGGTGACCTGAAAAAGTCCTGCGTTAGATTTGTTGGACTAAAATGTGCACTAGTCTGAGTAACGCGCGACTCAGTAACGCGTTCCCGCCATCACTGCTTCAGTCTCGTTTAATTAGATATTTGACAAATATGTATTGTTTTATGCCTTCCCGGGGGAAGTTTCCAGCCTTTCGAAAACACAAAACAGTGGAGGCTCTATGCTCTTAAACTGATTGGTTCAGCTCCCGTCCCAATGAACCCCTCATGGCGATATCAGCACAAAGCTGCTCTGTGCGTGGGCCCAGGCTTAATGTTTCACCCAGAACAACCCTCAAAGCGAATGGCTAGAACCAACATTGAGCCTCAATCAATTGAGCACATCAAATTAAAGTGGAGGTGCTGCCTTCGAGCTTTTCGCCTACTATTCAAAGTCCCACAGAGCACGTTAAAAATCAGAATATTCCCGGAAATCTTCAGATTACCCAACAGCTCACATGACATTTTCCGTCTGTTTGGACAACAACTCGGTGTGTCTGTCGAGCTCTTTGCCATTCAGGGCGTGCGTTCTGACATCAAGCTGAATTTGCACTTTGTTTGTGAACTTTCTAACCTCCCAAAGTTTGAAAAGACACATCGAGCCTGTTCATTTTTGATATCTGACACGATGCCGGGATACTAAAGACTTCTTCTGTCCAACTGGCAACAATGGAAAATTTCTGCACACACATGAAGTGTTACGAATGCATGAAGATTGTGTGAGTCTGAAGTGAGGGCGTTAATCGAGCAATTCATGTGCCCGCATTCCATTTTTATGCTGTGCCCGCATGTGTAATTTCCTCCTCTGGTGCGGAACAAAGCAGGTGATAAATGGTGCAGAAAAAACACACGGATAAACCCGATTGAACGGCATTGGTGATATGTTATGAGATAAACTTCAAACTGTCAAAAATAACATTGCTGCCCAGTGAATTACATACACTTGTTGGTATTGTTACCCGCTGAGAAGTCATGAACACATCGTGTTACGGGTTGCTTAGTTGTCATATACGGTTAGTGTCCTTATAACAATGTTTTGTGTCAGTATCAATCTCGGATTAAAGGATCCGTACTGGAGTGACATTGTCAGACGATAGTTTGGAACGATAGCAGAATTCAATTTGAGATCGCTTTGTAATATCGTCACCTGTAAATAGCCTCCCATAAATGACTCAACGAGCGGTATCATGATCGCTATTTGTAGTGGAGTGTTAACAGATGAGGCAAGTCAAGACTCCTCAAGTAAAAAAGTTTCACTGTTCACTTTCTAAGTGTAAATGCTGCTTTGAGAAGTGACAAGCTGCTCACACATTCTTACATCATCCTTGTATGGGTGGAAGAAACAAGACAACGCAAAAAAAAGTATCCAACTTAGAAGGTGGCTCTCCCTGAGCAAATCCTGCCCAATTCACGTGATAAATAAATCCTGTCTGTGTCAGTTTTATCTGATAAGCAGCATTTTTCCACTGCTCTTTCCGCCCGCTGCTAAAAAGGAGCAGCTGGAACACGAGTGTTGGACAGATGGAACTTTCCACCTCGATTATTTTTCTCACTAAAAATAGGCTGTCCAAAAAATTAAAAGGCCGCTGGGGCCGTTGGCAAAGTGCGCGTTCGTGTGTGCATGTACGTATGTTTTGAGCGACAGAGGCATGGAGAACTTCAGACGACGTGGCTCTCAGATGACGGCGGCGGGGGCCGTCTTGGGAGTGTGAATGAATACATGATAGGCGGATATCTGAAGGAGAGAGGGAGAGCGCAGGGAGTTGCTCCGTCATGCAACCTCTTACGCACACATTAAAGCAGGCCGAAAGGCCGCTCGGCAGTTGGCTAAGCATCTGGGGCAAACATCTGACGTGGTCACCGAGGTTTGGGTGTTTGAGGTTTCGACTTGGTTCTACCTTTTGTTCGGTGTGCCACATGAGAAAGTCATGAGCATGCAGGTTAACATACCGTATTTTCCGCACTATAAGGCGCTTCGGCGTATAAGGCGCACCTTCAATGAATGGCCCACTTTAAAACTGTTTTCATATATGTATTGGGCACACCGCATTATTAGGCACATAGAATATAAGCTACAAAAGTGATTGCAATTACATTATGCATACACTAGATGGAGCTACACTAAATGGAATACAATACAATACAGCTTTATTTATATTGCATTTTCACAACCGCTGCAGCTGTAACAAAGACCTTCCAGAACATTTAAATTACTACGTGCAAGAAATCAGAATATTGATCCATATATAAGGCGCATCGGATTATATGGTGCACTGTCAGTTTTTCAGAAAATGTTATGCTTTTAGGTGCGCCTTATAGTGCGGAAAATATGGTAGTTTGAAGGCTACCCGATTCTTAGATTGGCTGTATTTGACATCATTGGTTAAGGAGATAGTAAACACTTTGTTTTGAAACTGATTCAGGCTTGCCGCTTTTGAAGAGATCCCCAAAAAATCTGTGAAGACGACGATT